AATGAGGATATACAAGAAGTATATATTCTTGTGCATACAGTTAGTTTCCATCGATTTTCGATAAGGAGGCCCAACACTAAATACTGCCGCAATCAAAATATATTGAAAACATGAGACAAGGAATAACACCGTGTCTTCGAAACAATAAATATTTGTGTTATCGGGATCAAATTCAGGTGGTGAGTACCTATTTTATGTATTAAAGATAAACCAAGAAGAATAAATATATTAGTTGATAAATTATACACCAGACCAAAATGCCCGTTCAAGATTCATCTGTGACCGACAAAAATTTTAAATTTTAAAACCTCCGTTCTTGATTCACTTTGTTTTGCCGGATTGACAAAAAATTATGCATTCTTATTGGCTGCGGGTGAAAAATTTAGTAAATGCAGATGATCAAGTATGGAGATTTTAAAAATTTAAAATTTTTTGACGATCACAGATCCATTAAGAGCTGGTCCAGGTGAATCAAGAACGGGAATTTTGCACACCAGGCAGGAGTGGGATGAAGTGAAATAAATACCAAGGTTGCCTGCGAACTAAATAAAACACAAAAAATTGAAACCCGGATTGAATTATTATCTGACCAATCAACGAGGCTAAAACTTTTTTGGAGACGAGACTTGCGGTCGGGCTCTTTGTGTGTATCCGTGGATACGGCTCAGTGCGTCCCACTATTTACAAATAAATAAATTAGATTAAGGAAATAAAATTGATTTAATTTTAATATAACATTATTGCTTACTTAATACGGCAATTGGTAGTATTAAGAATAAATCAATATATAAGAACTAGATTAAAACATCCATAATGCTTTATTAATCATCAGGTATTAATAACACTTAGAAGTTAAAGGAAAACTTACTTGAAAATCTCCAAGATTGGAATCAAATGAATACAGCAAACTGACTGTAGTAAATTGAATTATACTGTACAATGCCATATATTTAAAACAGCTGAAACTAGTAACAAGTGCAGCACGTCCCTCCCTAAGATTAATGTAAAACTTAATTTTTTAGAAAACCATCTAATTGTTAATAAAAAAATTCTAACAGGATGCAAAAAGAGAAAAACTTGCCTAATAACTTGCAACACGCAATGAATATCCGTAGACCGACTGGTAAACGGTGCGGCCACCGACGCCTCCGCTTCCGACAACGAAAGTCCAACATCAGCTGCCTTCAATGCTCCACAATCATTAGCACCATCTCCGCAGAAACCAACACAATAGCCTAATTCTTGGAGTTTCTCGACGAGTTCGTGTTTTTCGTCCGGAGACATTCGTGCAAACACATTTCCCTTTATTAACATCTAAGAATAAACATTATATTAATGTTGAATAAATAGCGAATAAGATTTAGATAAACATGTTAAAAACTCACTCTTAATAAAGTGACCTGGTTCCCATAATCCATCATCCAACGAAACACATCACCAGTAATTGCAAGATTAAAATCAAGATCGCCTGGTGGATATTCCATACCAGCAATAGAATTTTCTAGATGAGAAGGAGCTAATGTTGGCTTTTAATGTATAATATATTTTATATATTGTTAAACAAATTGGTATTTGTTGTTCAAAAGTTCCGGACAAAAAATAGAGATTATTAGCAATAATAGTACCTTCAAAGTTCGGGGATCCAATAAATCCTTCGAGTTATCAAGGTTTTCCCATGCCAGTGTTGCTCGTGGTGCGATAGAGGATCCTTCAACAAATCTTGGAATATAGACTTGTGCATTTTTGCTTAAAATTCCACATTCACGCGATACGCTGATTGCAGTCAAGACGTTATCTCCTAATAATAAAAACCATGATCAATATCATTATCATAGAATCAATCAATTAAACAAAAATTGACTAACCAGTGCACATAAGTTGTCGAATTTTTGCCCCTCCCAATACATCAATTACCGGTGCCGTACCAGGTTTAAGTTTATTCTCGAAAATAATTAATCCCAAAAAATATAAATCTTGTTCAACCTGTTCTCTTTGAGGTTATTATTAATTATTAGTATTTTTCATGTATTAGACTTATTAATAAAGAGTAAATGTTAAAAAAATACCTTTTAATTTTTTGAGCTTTCATCCAATTAAGATTCTCAAAGCTTCTTGTCGCACAAGCGATAACACGGTATCCATGATGAGTATAGAAATACAATAAATCTTCGTAATCATCAGGAACTATCAAAAACAAACAACAAATGCCATTATTTATTCAATTAGTTCACCACTAATTACTTCCTAGCAGGACCAAAAACCTACATGTTTCCTTTCTGCAGATTTCTTTCATAACTTCAGGAGCACCTTTAACAAAGACTTCCATAGTATGACTTCTTAACCGTTTAACGATTACGCTCATACGGCGTAACGAAGGAACAAATTCAAATGTGCGTAATATTCCCAATTCAAGAAATGGTGTTGTCTTGATATAAAATAAAGGGTTACCAAGCTGTTACACTAGTTATCTGATTGATTCATATAGTAGGAATTCGTTATACAGATTTACCTTTTCATCTCGATTCCTATCATCATTTCCAAGCACATCCGCCAAATTAAATTGTCTTCCACCCGGGGGTCTTACCACCGTAGGCACAATACCGTTTGTGCCACCTAACGCAGTGTTCAAAGAACCTGATGATCCGAGAACAGAAGGGGAAGAACGCGAAGATGAAGCTTGACCACCTTCTTCGAGGATCCAGTTTGTGAATTCAAACATCTTCAAGTCGAGCGGGTCCCCAATTAATTCGCCATTTACGAGCTTGAGAGAATGACAAGTTGTCATGGCGAATAAAATTGGCTGGTATTCTTTTATTGTGTTTGAATGATTTTTTTGGTGATTGTGCGGGGCGGTGGGATCAACAGAAATTTGCGATGACGATGGTGACAAAGTTCCGGCTGTTGTGTGAAGTTCAGAAAATCTGTAAAGTTGGCGGTGGTGGTGGTGCAAAAGACAGAATTAAAAATAAAATTTATTAATATTTTTTATTTTTAAGTAGGCTAAAGCATTTACCTATGAGTCTGGTAATTTATAGATCGCACACCTAATACATCTAATCCATCTTCAGTCAGAGTCCCCGTTTTATCAAAACACATTAAATTAATTTTTCCGCCAATGTTAACTCTAGAAATGAATTTGTATTAGATTACTTGTGTGTAATAATCACCCAAAATTTATATTAACCATTATTTTTTGAAAAATGTATTGTTACCTTGCTGGACTAATACAATATATCCCTTCCTTATTGAGCCTTCCAATCGCAAAATTAGTTCCAACACTCATAGTAGCCGGCAGAGCGGGCGGAACCACTATAGTGATCAGATCCAGTGCACGGACAACTATCAGGTGTATTGTGACACCCATTCGAATGAAGTTGTATGTACTGATGCAAAAGCCAATAAACGCTATGTTTTTAAAATTAAAAAGAAAAATCATTGAGTCATACAGTTTTTAAAGTAAACTTTACTAAATTAACTTTTAAGAGAAAAAATTACCAATGCCTGCCAACACGCCAATAAATCGAAAAGAATCACGATAAAATTTAAATTTATTTGGTTTTGGAAAAAGTATCGAACGAATCAACGCGCCTTTTGTAGTATTAAAACCTGTATATAATAAATTTAATTTATTCATTTAGATATAATAACCATACATGCATATCAAATCAAAAAGGCAGCTTTATAAACTCAAAAAGACCTGTCCGAATAGCTATTGCCAGAGCAATCCCTTCATCTTCAGCTGATGTGTCCATATT